AGGCAGGGCAAGCCCGCAGGTCTTTTCCTACCACAGCGTGAAAGCGCTAGCCACAGCACATCCGAACGGGTTAACGTTTTTTCATGAGGTTGTAGTTTTTTTAAAAGCCGTCCCATAACGTCACAGTCTTTGCATTTTGGAAGTTTCTGTTCAAGAAAGGCACGTTGCCAGCTCCACCGGTGCAGGCTGAATAGCAACAATAAAGCTCCCTCCAACTGCTGCAGGAGCAGAGGTGAGGCTGAAAGTGCACCATCAAGAGCGATCACCGCATCTTGCACTTAATTTACTGTACTTCCTAATAAACTGAATTACATGCTAATCAGCACACTCTGGCTATTAGAGCTATGTCAGACTTAGAATAAAGGGCTCCCTTTCATTTCACTCCTCTCTATGCACAAACATATTTCACAGGGGGATCCACTGGAGACCAAAGCGCAATGGGCTCCCACATCAGTCCAAATTTGCTGCATGACATCTGGGGAGGGATCGGGTCTCCAAAGAGGAATTCAGGGTCCTTGGGCCCCAGCCAACCCTGCTGAGAGCAGGGGAAATTTCCCCTGCCTTCCACAGGATTGCCCACATTTTCCTTAGAGCAGCCCTTCGTCCCATCACTTTTAGTGCATCTCCATTCCTGGACACCTGCCATCTGAGTTCAAAATGCAACGCTGAGCCACGGCGCTGGACTAGTCTGTTCAGGTTGGAGCAAACATGCCTCCCCTAGGCCAGTGAATCTATCAGACTCCGGCCACAGGTTCGGATATAGCAAGTAGTCCAGCATTACAGAAGCAACACAAAAAGTTGCATGAGTGCAACTACTAAAACAGAAACACAAGAACTCTCCCGTCTTCAACAACTTGTTTTAGCCCTCTCAAAATTACCCATGTCCAAAATGTGCACAGAGATACCCGCCTGTGCAAGCTCCAACATTTGGCATGGTCTTTACGCAACAGCGTACTGTTGTAAAGAATGGTAAAGTTATACTTAGGGCACTGTTAAAGGTTTGTAGTGATGTATCTCCCACAAAAAGTTAAAACCGTGTGCAGCTCTTATCCCTGAGTTTGTCCTATCGGCTCACATTCAGAGATGACAGGCTGCTCTATTTATCCAGTCTCACATGCTCTGCCTGCATCCTATGGCTTTGGCGGGCCGTCTCTACGCAAGATCAGAGGATACTCAGAGGGGCTGACAAATGAAAAGCTCAAGTCCAGTTTTGCGTACAAAGCCCAAGAGAACGTATTTTGCATTTACAGCATGTAAAATCTGAGGTAGGTGGAATAAAAGGAAAAAAGGAGGCATCCTTTTTGAATGCCTTGAGGCATCCTTGAATCCAAAGGTTAATGCATATTCTGCACATTTCCTGTATGTTTTGTCATACCCTACATAAAGTTAAAAGAGGAAATCCCTCAAATGGGAAAGAGAAGCCTGTTCAATTCTGGCTGACTTACAGAGTGACCATATGTCGGATCCTGTTCCCAAGGAAAAAGTGGGAGCCTTCTTTTTTCCCTTCCCAATAGCTGCTCATTTATATTAAAAACAGAGTAAAGGTTTATTTTGTCTTGTAGCTTGAAAACTACCAAGGAATTCCAAGTGCATCCGATGAGAATTAACGATAGCAATTAGCATCTGAAATGACCCAGCAGGCTAATACCAGAGCAAACTACTGTGGAATTTTGACATAACGTAAAAACATACATTAACCTGATAAAGCTAATAACTACAATAATAAAGTGAGCCATGTACTTTTACCTCAAAGAACAGCGCTTTTAACAACCGTGTACTACAACTACAGAAGCCTTGTTTTTTGGGGTTTTTTTCCCCCCCTTATTACAGTGATTCAGCAGTCAAATGCTGTGTCCTACTAAACCAACAAAACCGGCTGTGCTTCCAGAGCAGCACCTGCTAACAACGCCGAGCTGCCCTGGGAAGTCTGCAAGCGTTTCTCATGTAAACCTTTCTGGTTCTCCAGCACGTGGCTGGGTTGTAAATATGCGCTCAGGAGGGGGGCATTTTTCATCGTTTGCCTCAGCCCAGCAACATGTTTTTCTTTTTAACGACTAGCAATTAGTTCACTTTCCATTATTAAGAGCGCACTGCATGGAGTTCGGCAGTTTTTATTTCGGAGTCCGCGATTCCCTGTGGTTCTTTTACCGAGTAATCAGCATCAAGCCCTTTCAGCACTGAAACGGGCAAGCTATTAACGTCTGAAAATTGGCTTCGTGCTCGCTGAATATTCATCTCGAGACTCAACACCGAAACGGCCACTCGTTCCAGAGCGTCGCTGGATACAGCTATCTCAGCCTTTTTTCGGGTTTGGGGGACAAGGCCAATTCAAACCAAAGGGCGGCCGACGTCCGCAGCGTCCCCTGCCCGCAGACCTCCCCTCAGCCGTTCCCACCCCAAAACCTGGCCGCAGCCCGGAGCGTTTCCTTGTGAAGGACTGGGGGATCGTTAGAAACGCGCGTGCTTTCAAAACGGGAGAAGAGTGCCGGTAGCTCTCCCTCAGTAATTTTTTAACTGCTAATAAAAGTTTTCTGTAGCACAGGGACTTCAATTATTCTCTCAGAGAGCAAACAACATGCAATAATTTATCGTTAGCTTTGCCAGCTTCCATCCACGTTCGCTGATCAATTGTAACCTTTTCCAATATTTGATCATAAATGAGAGGGTACCAATTGCGAAGCACAAATTAAATTAACACGTCAAGCCAGCTTGCACAGCCAGTACTTTAGATAAATGCAAGCAGGGCAAGTATTCAATCTTGAGGAGAAAGCTAACGTCTGCTTATTGACTTACGGCAGCACAAACGGCTAAGAAACGCTCGGTGAGCGAGAGGTAAGAACTACACTGGTTCTCCTTCAGCTGACGCTGGTGAAGCTCCCCCCTCTGCAAGGGCAGCCACGAGAAAGGAGACCAAGTATAAAACCCAGGACATTCGAAATTCAGGCGCCCGCCTGGATACGCAAAGCCTGTGCGTGACCTCGCACCCGCTCCCGGGGCCGGGGCGCCGGCACGCAGCGGCCCGACCAGCACGGAAAGCAGAAGCTCCTTTTGGACGCGGCAGACAGAAAAATCCTAACTTGATTCTAAGTTAACCGTATTTTACTACTGTATTTTAGCAGAACACACGCAGAGCTGGGCTGGCTACTGCTAAACCTCGGACTGGGCGCTGCGTCCAGCAGCTCTCACCCGCTGGCTCACCCACCTTTCTGCTCTTTTCTTTCGTTCGGCTTTTCTTGCTTCTTTAAGGAACGGAAGCCAAGTCCGTGGGCCACGATAAGGGCAGGGAGGAAACCTGCAGAGGAAACTCTTTCCGGCTCTCACCAAGTATTTTGCCTCGCTGCAAGGTCTTGCATACATGCATGTACACACACACACATATCTGTGTACATATATATATATGTGTGCGCACACACACACATATATGCATATATATAAAAGCAAGGCAAATATTCAATATTTTGTTAAATTAAGGAATAGAAGCAACAATAGTTCCTTACATCTTGTTTCCTTTAAAAATTGTTCTGAGCGTCTTGGTGGGGATCTTTTGCTGGCTGGAATCAGAGGATGATCTTCCCTAGCAAAAAAAATGCGTGTCCTGATTGGAGACGTAAATTTTTGAAGAGAAGCTCTCTCGAATTTTCTATTTCCCAGGCAATTCCTGGGAAAGCAGAGAGGCTTGAATGAGAAGCCAGTAAAGCTAATGGAAAGGCTCTGAAAAGCCTCATCGGGTTTCAGATCGGGCCTGACACGTCGCTGAGACCCTGCACAGCGATCGCCCGCGCGCCGCACCGCCGTCTATGTTACGGTGCTCACGGGGACCACAGAAAGGCTCCTCGGATAAAGGTGGCCGACTGCAGCACATCCACCTCCCTTCAAAAAAAAAAAAAGTTGGCATTTTTTTTCTGTTAAAAAACCATATCTGAACACTGAGGCTGCCCGGCCGCCGGGCAGGATTTTCCAAGTGGACGATTCCCAC